CCCGGCCCGGCGGCCTCCATCCAAGGCTTTTGCCCTCTACTTCCGAGAAGGGCTCAGCTCCATGCTACGCTGCTGGCTGTGTGGAGCCGTTTGGCCTGTTCCAAAAGGCAAAAGTGCTGCTGACAATAATTTGAACTCAGCTGTAGGGCAGAGGGAGGGAGCTTGCCACGTCAGCGTGGTGCTGGGTGAGGTTTGGAAACACGCTGCACGCAGTTTCATCAACTGCAGGCTCTCCCCCCCCGGGGGGGGGAAAAGGGAACGCCTTTCAGGCAGAGGCTTCTGCTGGCAGCAGATAGCACATGCAAGTACCGTGGCACTTTGCATCATTATTTCCCCTTCTTTTCTGAACTGCACCATCCTGCCTGTAGCTGTTGCTGGATCTGCTCGCCTTCCAGCTGAAAGCCTTTTTCCCTGTGCTAGGAAGCTGCGACACTCCTGTTTGTTAGTGTGGGGGGGGTCTAATCCTTGACAACTCAGTCGTTGCAATTATATGGCAGGGCTAACTCTGGTGTGCGCTGGCAATCAACAGAGGAGTCTCTCTCATTAATGACAGGCCTCACGTTCCAAAGTGACAAGTTTCCTGAAGCTGCCACACCACGAAATTGCAACCAGTTTCGTAGGGGTGTCTCATGCTCCTGTGACAGCAGCACGTCTCATTTCCTACGTGCCGGTCAAGGCAGGACAAGACTCAGCAGATGGCACTGCCTGAAACAAAAACGAGCTGAGGACAGACAGATCCTTTTCGTGACACAAGTCACCCCCCAAAGGGAAGCCTTTCTGCTTTGGGTTGTCCCAAGGGAATACCCTCTTTTCACAGAGAGACGGCAGTTGCAACCCCCTTGATAAGGTCAAAGCTATTTTAAAAACAAACCACTGGTTAGATTTGTGCCCTAGAAAGCATCCCTTTAATTAGGCTCTGGGGAGGGGGGGGAATTTCTTGCTGCCAGGAAGCACGAGCCACAGTCCACCCTGCCCACAGGAGCGAGAAGTGCTGTGCTCAGGCTGACGTGGCTGCCTGTCACCCCCGGCTGCACGCGCAGGTCGGCTTAGATAAGCAGAGAGAGCAAGGCTGTAAACAACAGCGCGCGTGCATTCCTTCCACGCCACAGCCTGGTATTTATAGGGCTGAATGCAGGAAGCTCCAACCATGACCCAGCTCCAAGGGCAGCATGGCAAGAGCCCAGCTCTCCCCTCGCTCATTGTACAACTCAGCCAGCAATCTCAATAAAACATCTTTATTCTGTACATTTATAGAGAGATGCTTGGGGAGAAGGGGCCACCCCCAGCATTAGAAAAATTCAAGACAACAGAACAGCAATTATGAAGAGCATGGCACTAAGAACGGTCATGCCACAGACGGCAGGGACGAGATGAAACCAGCCGTCTCCTGTTTCAGAAACGGTCACTGCACCGTGTCTGCCTCAGCACAGAAGACACCAGGGCTGCTGCAGACAGCTGGATTCACACCCCTCCCCACCCCGGGTAGCTTTCTTAGTGAACCACTAGCACCAAAGGGAAGAGCCTGCTGGCAGCTGGGTGAAAGAACACGCTGCTGTAACACCCAGACCACCGTCAGGGCAGAAGGGAAAAGGGATCCTGCTTCAGCAGCTGCCCTGAACCTGTAGGCGCTGTCTCACTGCTGGGGAGGGTGCAGGTTTTTAGCTGGGTCAGTTCTCCTCCCGGGGGGACAGGTAACGCCCGCTCCTGTCACCAACGAGCTGCCTCTGAATCTCTCACGGGGAGGATGGGCTTTCAACGTCCCTTCACGTATACCAGCTTTTCACCAACTCCACAGCACTTCAGCATGCTCTTTGCAGGGTGCAGCCACCCCATGCGCTAAAGCGCCGCTCTGCGACATCCACCGATCAGCACGGGCCACTCAGCCCCGTAGGCACTGCCTGCGCCAGCAGCCTCAGCAGAAGAAGAACTTGCTTTCAGGATGGAAGTGGGGCTATTCTGGCAAGCGAGTGTTATCACAGGCCCCCTCCTTTCTCTTCAGTCAGGGCTGGCAGGCCACCATGCCCTGCTACAAGGCTGGCTGAAGAACTGTTGCTCACAGCTGATACATTTGGTCTAACAGTCCAAAGTAAAACCAAAAGCGTATGCACAGCTGCACAGCCCCTGCTGCACCCTCCAGGCTAAGAGTGGGCTGGAGTAACTGTCACACAGGGAACAAATAAGGAATCACATGGTAGCAAGTGGGGGACAAAAGTGCTCCATTTCTTGTGCACAGAGTCCTTGCTGGCAATGCCATCTTTCCTCCAACAATGAACCCCAGTGGCAGGGGAAAGAAAAGAAGTCTTCCTTGAAGAGAACAAGAACTAAAATCATGCCACTGTCCAATCACATCTACACAATAAAAGTCACCTGGTTTTGTGTTAATAACACAACCTGCCCTGCTCAAACGTTAAGGCAAGCGTCTGAGCAGCAAGCTGGGCTGGGCCCTGGAACTGAGCTGTACCAGGGGGCCCACTGCAAAATGCTGCTGCCCACTTGGAGATGACATCTTGTAGCTGAACCTCTGTGGAAACAACCAGCACGTGCCAGCACAGGCCCAGCCCCGGCCCCACTGTGCTCCACAAAACTGCCTCCTGCTTCTGACAGTAGGCTGCTCAGCTGCTGCAAGGAGCAGATTTAAGTGCAAATTCTGCCTTCACACTGTTATGTCAAGAGGCCGTGCCACTCAGAACAGTCTCAACCTCCCAGAAGTCACAAGTGGGAGGCTGAAGGAGTGTGTACATGTGCATGTGTGTGGGGAACAGGACAGGACACTTGTCCAACAGTTAAGACACCCAGATTACAGTAATGCAAAACCAACACACAAACGGACACTGCAGATTAAAGCCAACCAAGATTAAAATGGTTAAAAAGTGTCCTGAATGCGTTCTGAAAGGTTCAGCCAAGCCCCTGCTGTGGGTAGCAGGGCTTCTTCCATCCCCTCCCCAGGAGGACGTGCTGCAGGACTACTCAGGATCAAGCTGGAATGGAACCAGATCTTATATCAGAGATGGACAAAAAAAAATCCCTTCACTGCTGGTCTTCAAGGGCTCTGCTCCTCCCAACCAGTAATTTTCAAACAGTAAACAAAGCCAGAATTCGCCTGGCCAGGTCTGCAGATGCCTCTGATCTATTCTGGAGGGCAGGGTAGTCAAAGCAGCAGGCAACATGGAGAACATTCTTAACTTGCCTCATGTAGGGCACTGAATGCAAGAAGCTCTCCAAGGCTCCAGCTCACGGCACAGAGGAGGGACGCCCACACTAGAACTGGATAGCAGCAGCTCCAGGCATCGTTCAGAGAGCCAGGGGAGCTTCCATCCTTCTCCCCGGTTGTTGGCGAGTGATCTCTCTGACCTAGTGGTAGTCAGAAGCTCAGCTGTCCAGGCCCCAGGGACTCCTCCAGGCCGTTTTCTTTGGCGGTGATGGCTTGGAGGTCAGTGACATGCCCAATGCCTTTGGTGACTCCTTCACGGAAGAGCAGCTTGGCTCCAATCTTCAAGTACTCAGGATGCTTGATGAATCTGAAACGGACAACTGCCTTCTCTCCTGTCCGCAGCTTATCCTAAGGAGACAAAGGGGGGCGCCTGGGCTCGCTTACCACACCTCTGCATAAGGGAGAGGTGGATGTGGATGCTAAGATGAGGCAACTGGGCTGGTTGCCTCTCTCAGAGTGCAGACTTTGAGCCTTTCCCATTATTGTCTGCATGGTGGGAGACAGGAATGCACAAGCTCTGGAGAATGGAGAGTTCACCTCCTTTCCCAGTCTTGCTGGGATCCAGCAGGCTGCTTGTTTTACGATAAGGAAATTCTTTAACGTTCTTAGAGGCAAACCAACTACACAGGCAGGAGAAAGGGACAAGTGTGCTCTCCGAAGGGACACAGCTGCCCAAGATGCCAGAGAGCTGGACTTGATAGTCCCATGAAAAGTAAAGCCCCTGGCTTTACTAGAGGGCATAGTGGAATCCCAACAAGCCCCATAGGGAAGTCTGTATTTTCCCCCTTTCCTTCCACACCTACCTTTCCATGGATCTTCTCTACAATAGCAGTCTGCCGCACGTTTCCCACATGCACCGTCACCTGAAACCCCTTCCGGAAGGTCGTGGCATGGAACAGCAGCACAATCTCGGCTTCAAACACTGAGCAGATGGTGGGGTTCATTTCTGGGCTCACCATCACCATGCCCTGCACAACAGCCCAAAGCTCAGACCAGTTGGGGCCAGCCCCTTTGCCAGCCCCATACCACACACACATTTCCACTCTGCGACCTGGCTTGTATCCCATTCTCAGTCCTGCACTCCTCCTACTTCATAACCTGGCCATTTCCTCCCCTTCCAGCTTTCTGCAAACACCTCTACTTTCCCTGATAGCATAGGAATGAAGATCGCCAGGGAAGCCTGCAGCCCTGCTCACTAAGGATCTTGGCAGCTGATCTTAGTACTTCTGGAGCAGTGAGGAGCCTGGCAGCAGCTGGACTCACCTTGCGCAGCAGGGAGCGGTCGAAGGGCCCAAGGGCCAGCGTGGCTGCCTGCCCTGCCCGCAGCACACGGCAGGCTGAGCGGTTACGCTGGATGCTGCACACCTTCAGCCGGAGGAACTTCCCGTCATCAGTGGGACCAACCACCAGGCTCTCCCCTTCTCGGCAGATTCCACTGCCCAGAGCACAAAAGCAGGAGAGAGTTAAGCAGGAAATAAGAACGACGACCCACCCCGAAAAAACAGAAGAGAGTTGAGCAGGAAATAAGAAAGACGACACACCCTGCAAGATTAACCTGCACAAACTCCCCAGAGCCAAGGAGGTGAGTGTCTCTGGACTCCTACCCAGACATGTGATGAACTAACAGGGATACAAAGCTGGTAGGAACAGAGATTTCCTACAGTAGCAGCAAAAGCCATACTATTACTCCTTAGAATACCAAGCGTTTTTCCCTTGGAAAGGTGCCATTCTGTCTCCCAGTGCTCTGCCACACTGGACCGTTTCTCCTGGACAGACTGCAGTTGGTGCCCATTCTGTACGGGCACCTTGAGGACCGAACTGCTCTGACCGTTCCTGGGACACCAAGGGACAGCTGCCTTCTCACGGAGTAGCATGTGATCACTTCTGCTGGGATCAGAGCATTTGCTTTGCACATTTACTTCTCCTCCTGATGGGGAAGGAGGAAAGCGACACCTTGGAATGCTGGCTAACCTCTGCTGAATCGCTGAATCGGGGTCCTACCACGCCCTTCTTTCAGCATGCCACAGGTCAAATTCCTAACCTAGCAACTCGAGAGCAGAGTCTTCACTTGCCGCCACATGAGCAACGGGCTATTCACAGCACCTCCCAACGCCCCGTAGGGCTTTACCCTCAATCAGCTCTGTTATCTGGCAAGAGCCAGGACTGACTTAGCCTCGTGCTGCTGCCATCTGATACAGATAGAGAGGACTAGACAGCTTCCACTCTGCTACCCTCAGAGCAGTGAGTGACACTAACCTTGCTGGAACTCCAGCAACCATCCACACCCACACTCATCTACCTGCCAGGCATCACTTACCTCGACAGAGTTCCTCCCACGACAGTCCCCACCTCTGGCACAGTATAAATTTCATCGACCTGCAGGAAGGCAACCAGAATAAGCTGCTCAGACAGCTGGAAAACAGCACGCCAGAAGAACAAGCCGCCCTCACCACGTGTGGAGGGAGGGGAGCTGTCTGCTGGGCATCAGAGGCCATCTCAGAGCTTTCACCAGCTCCCATTACGTTCCCATTAGAGGAACCTCAGCCTGAGAAGTGGAAACCAGAGAAACTGTCTTTTCTCCGAGATGGGCATCCCTTGGCTAAAACAGAGCTGAGCCTAACAGGCATTTACAAGGAACAAGTCTGCTCTTTTCTCTAACATTTACCAATAGTCCAGGAATTCATCACATGTCCTCCCCCCCCCTCCATGGTGTCCAGAGCATCCAGCCAGTTGTCACACATCACGGTAACGAGTGCAGTAGCAGATCTAGAGCTGAACTACCCTTACATACCTGAAATTCCGTGAGTTGCTGCATTAGTTCCTCCTGCTCTTTACTGTTGGTCAGTGGAGGAAGGATGTTGAGGAAGACTTTCAAGAGATCCAGGTTCTCCCCAGAAACACTGGACAGTGTGAAGATTGGGGTGATGCTGCCAAACAGATACAGACAGGGATGAGTCAAAGGCCAGAGTGCAGCTGCAGAAAGTGACTGCGATTCTGAATCTACAGAACCCAGCAGGAAGACAGAGACTACAGGAAGAAACTGGACCACAGTGGAAGGGTGCACGGGCTAGGTGTAACTCTGCAGTGACCCTGCCTCAACATTTGGTTGAGACACCTATCACCTGCCAACCCACACTTCTGTCCTGGAGAGGTAACCCCAACTCAGCCTCTGGCACCTTCTGCTCCGAGAGCCCAAAAAAGGCCTAGGAGGGGAAAGTGCTCTTTTGGAAAACGTAACGGCAGGAAACCTGATGAGGAGCCAAATGTTCAAGATGTGGTCTGCTCCCCTGAGGGAGGCTTTCCCAGCTCCACACAGCAGCCCAGTCTGAATTATACATTCCTGGAAGAAGGAAAGAAGGGTCCCTTACTTGGGAGACTGTGCAAACTGCTGTGCTGCTGTGACAGCATCGTCGTCTGAGTTCACAAGCAGGGGGAGTTTGTTGCAGCCTGGCTGCTTCAGGATTCGCTCCAGCTGTTTCACTGTCCGTTCCACAGTGGCTTTTGAACACAAGTCGACTTTGCTGATGACGATGAAGAAGGGGACCTTGAGGGCCATTGCCAAGCCCAAGTGCTCTCGCGTTGTGCCTGCTGCAGGAGAAAAGTGAGAGCGTGGGTACGGAAGCAGTCACAACTGCCGCTTGTTTACGGTACAGCTATGTCTCCTGGACCTCCCATGGGCCCACCGTAGAGATTTCACCCCATCTGCTCAGATCATCAGGCAATGAAAAAAGAATATTGTTCTTTTAATCAAAACAAACATCAGTCTAGAAAAATACAGATAACCAAGACTTCTTGTGCCTAATCTCTTTGCTTCAGAAAGATGCAGTAGTTTTCCTCCATGGACCAGAGTTTTCCAGAAAACAGCCATCAAAACGTCACAGAAAAATGTGGGAGAACTCCAGATGCCTTTTTACAAGGCTTCAGGCTCCACTACCCCTATGAACATGTCAAAGAGATTTTTTTCTGACCGCAAATGACAACCAAAGCCTCTCTGTCCTGAGCATTGTTTCCAGTAATATGGTACACAGCTGACAAAGGATCCCTGCTCTACCCCTTCCCAGCCACTTGTAGGCACTGGCTTACAAGAAAACAGTATTTTTTTCCTGACAACAACCCCCAGCTAACCAGGATTTGCCCAGCCATCCTCCATGCATCTTCACATACTGCTGTCAGTCCATCTGTGTGTTTCTCAGTGCAGGCAGCACAGCACTCACCAATGCCAGTGTTGGCACTAACCACCAACATAGCAAAGTCTGGGCAGTAGCTGGTGAGGCCAAAGATGGTTGTTTTCAGGTACTTGTGGTGGCCAGCCAGATCAATGAAAGTGATCATCTTGGAGGAACTCTCGCAGATCTCTTCTGCTGTCCGGGAGTCACTGTAATTCACCACCTGAGGAACATGAGGACTCAGTAAGAAGGAGCACCAGCAGGCAAGTGAAGGAAGAGCCAGCCCTTACCAGACCACCTTGACCTCAAAATTAGTGAATATAGATCATTCTTTATGGATGTAAGAAACTGTTTGTTGCAAATGGACAGGCAGCACTCGAGCTTAGCTAAGGGGACACAGAGCAGAGCAACCTCTCTTCCGTCATGTCCCCTCACTGTTGTAACAGTAACAAGCAGCCATACTCTCCTTCACCATCTCCCCCACTCCCAGCAATT